CAGGGCTCCCACCTCACCTGCCACTGAATCCATTCTCACTCAAGGAGCCTTCTATTGGGCTTCTGAGGATGTAAAGCCTAAAAAAACTACTCATCTTTCTTCTTTGGAGTACCTGGTGGGTCAAACTGTTGACCTTCCATCCCTGAAACATGCAAAACCACCAAAGATCTTTACTTTTAAGAAAACGAATAATAATTTCAACTACCATTTTATTCTGTCTGTACAATTGGCTCTAACCATTTACTTTTCCCTCTACTTTTCTACCTTCTCATTGCATGTCTTTCATTTGTTTCATTTTATTATCTTCGTTTGAATGTTACATATTATTTTTCTACCAGGAGGGTGTCATTAAGTTAGCACTAACTCCTAAGTAATTCCACACACAAAAGAACACAGCATTGCACAGTGCTCCATCATCCACACAATCTCTGCAGTACTTAAGTCCATTATTGTAGGCACTCTGTCAGTCTAGCTCCTTGAATGTCTTCCTTTTTTGTTTTTTTGCTGACCTTCCACTTGACCAAGCATGATGTCCTCCAGAGACTGGCACTTCCAAAGTATGTGAGGCAAAGTGCCATCATTCTTGTTTGTTTTTCTGTACTTCCAAGAGAGAGTTGTTTGTTCTTTTGGTAGTCCACAGTATATACCATATTCTTCACCAACGACCTCTCCAGAGTACTGAAGAGCAACGGTGTCAAGTCTGGAGACTAAGGTGTGCCTGATCCAGGCTAGTATTTTTACAATTACTTGCTATTCATCAGAGAGCTGGACAATGAATAAGGATGACAAAAAAAAATTGATGGCTTTGAGTTGTGGTGTTGGGAAAGTGTATTAAACATATCATGGACTGCTAAAAGAACAAACAAGTTCACCCTGGAGAGGGTGAAGCCAGGCTGCTCCTTGGAGGCAAGGATTCTGAGGCTCCATCCAACATACTTTGGACATGTTCCAAGGAGGGACCAATACTTGGAGAGGGACATCATGCTTGGGAGGGTGGATGGACAGCACAGGAGAGGAAGACCCTGGATGAGATGCTTAACTCAGTGACTGGGGTAATGGGGATAGGTGTGTCAGAGACAATGAAACTGGCTCAAGATGGAGCAGAGTTCAGAGCTGTTGTACACAGGGTCGCTATGAGTCGAAGGCCGCTCAACAGCACATAACACAATAAAAACGAACAACCACACAATAAAGACATCAATTCTTCATTGGTCTTCCCAATTTACTGTCCAACTTACACAGGCATATGGAACAAGTGAAAATATTGTAGCTTGGGACCATGTGCATCTCAGCCTTTACAGTGTCTTCACTGCTCTTTAATAATTTGATTGAAAAATTGATAGTCTCATTTACTTTGGACATGTTATCAGAAGGGACTAATCCCTGAAGAAAGACATTATACCTGGTACAGTGCAATCAGAGGAACAGTACAAAGAGGAAGGCTCTCAAGAACATGGACTGGCACCGTGGCTACAAGAACAGGATCAACACAGTAACAAGTGTGCGATGGTGCCAGAACAGGTCGTGCTAGGTGGCCAGGCCCAGGCCACCTAGCAACAAAATCAACTGCCACCCTCAAGAAGCTTTAAAAAAAATGTTTAATTACTGCTCTGTGCTAACTGCTACTGTACTAAGTATTCCTAAAACAAAGAACAACAACAAAAAACCCCAACAAAAACAACAAAACAAAACCCAACCCACCCCCAAAACTCATCTATCCTTTCCTACCTGCCTCTGTGAGAATGAAAAGAAAGGAATATATACTTTGGAAGCAATGAAGTATTATATTCTAACCATTTTATTGAATATCAACAAGGATACTTTATTAATTTATTAGTTGTTCGTCCTTGTTGAGTGTCTATAATAAGCATGACAACTACACTATTTAAATATATATCGTTATAAACTCATGTGTTATTGTTGTTGTGTACCCTCATGTTGGAACTGACTCAAAGCTGATCCTGCAGTGGGTTTTTCAGAGGCAGAAAATCATCACATGAGAGGAGATTGTCTCTTTTTCTGCCTTCAAGCAACAGCTGGTGGATTTGACCTGTGGTGGATTTGGGTTGGAAGCACAAAGCCCTGCCACGAGGCCACCAGAGCTCTCTACACATACACTTCTTGTGATTTCGGGCTGAGTATGACTCATAGCAAACCTGTGAACAAGAGAACTGAACTGCCCTGTCCCATCATCTTCATCCCTGACAACCTGAGCCCACTGCGGCAGTCACTGTGTCAATCCATCTCACTGAAGGTTTTCCTCTTTCACTGACCCCCCACCTAAATTATATAAATACATGTACATATCAACTTCTAGAGTCTCTGGTGGTACAATGATTAAAACACTCAGTTAGTTGTTAACTGCATGGCAGTCAGGACTCACCAGCCATTCTGTGGTAGAAAGAAGCAGCAGTCAGTTTCCCTAAGATTACCCTCTCTGAAATCCTATGTTGTTGTTGTGTACTGTTGAGCCAGAACCGACTCATAGTTGACCATCCAGATTTTCTGAGGCTTTAAATCACACGGGAGGAAACTACTCATCTTTCTTCTGCAGAGCAGCTGATGGATTTGAACCATGTACCAGAGTGTTGACAGAGCAACTTTTTACCATTTCAAAGCCACTAGAGCTCCCAAACAGTTCTCCACTGTCCTACAGAGTTGATAATGGTTGAAATCAACTTGCTGGCAATGGCTTTGGTGATATGTATGCTTCATAAAGGTAATAAAAAGTATTTCATTAAATGGAAAATAGCAGAAGAAAGATAGGCAGTCTCCTCCCTCACGATGTAAAGTCTCTGAAAATCTACAGGAGGATTAGCCAGAAGTTGGTTCTGGTTTTTTGGCAATGAACTTGAGGCTTTTCTGAGAAGTGTTAACAAGGGAGCTCTGGTGATCTAGTCTACAGGGAGTTGTGCTGTTAATCCAAAGCTCACACGTCACTGGTGGTTCGAATCCACCAGTTGGCTCCACAAGAAAAAGATGATCTGTCTTTTCCCATGTCATCTGCAGTCTCAGAAACACAAAGGAGAGTCAGTAAGAGGTGGCTCCAACTCAACAGAAATGAGTTGAGACATTATTTGGCATTTGCATGGAAATATCTGTCCTAACCTCATCTTAGCTCTTCAATGATTTCAGAGGCTATTTCTTCAGTAAGTAAAGACAAGTCATTTTCTACTGTAATTTACATCCTCAGTTTGACATTTGTGATTCTTGTTTTAGTTCATTCTCTCTCTGTTTTTTCTCACCTTAATCTTCCTTCCACAATGCCCACTGGTTGAGACTTTGAGTTTCCAGACACTGACTTATTCCCCTGCCAAGAGTCTCTTAGGTACATGTGTGCAGATAAACCTCAAGTGAAGGGAATTATCTGCATTTGATCACACTGTGTTAGTGGCTGAGCCAGATGACATGTAAACCTTCAGAATCAGACTAGCATTTCTCCATAATCCCTTGCACCTTTCCCTAAGCTTGACAGCACATCCTTTGGTCAATATGAAAAAGGTTATATCTCATTGCAGGAAGCAGCTGGAAGAGGGTATAAGCAAAGGCTTAACTTAGTAATTCCTTACCCCCTTCTACATAAGACTTATTTTTGCAATTCAATCTAACCTTTTTAATTTTCCTAATTACCTAATAAATTAGTATGGATCAATTGTTACTAAGCAATATAAGATAGTTCTCTCTCATTGGGAAATTATATCTAGGAGGAATTAAAAATGATCTATTAGTACTTCTCTGGTGGCCGAGTGGTATAATGCTGTGTTGCAATCTCAAAGGCACATGGTCTGAATCCACCAGCTATTCCATGGGAGAAAGATGGGCACTCTCCTCCTGTGTGATTAGCTGCCTCTGAAAACCCACTGGAGGGTCAGCTGTGCGTCAGTTCTGATTTGATGGAACACAACAATAACAAACAACAACAACAATTAGTACTTATTAGCTCTGTTCCTCCTTGAGTGTGCTGACTTTTGTAACTGTGCAGTTCCATTGTGAGGACCCTCGAAACCATGCCTGTGGAAGAAATAGAAATATAGGGTCCTGAGATGTAAGACTTCTATGTTTGGGCCAAACCTATTTACATCCCTTTTCTTTGTACCTGGCTTTCGTAACCTGAGGACTAGTGTTATGTCCTGCATGAACTATGGCAGGAACTCCCACAGAAAAAGAAATGTGTATGTAATGCATGCCTGCTGGCAAGCTATTTTATGCTTTCCAGAGTAGCCCGATATTACACGTTGTGTAAGTCAGTCTTGTGAATATAAATGTTTAGCCTAAAAGCAGCACTGAGTGGGTTCTCCTGAAGTATTGGGGTTGAAGCAGACAGGCCCTGTGCTTGCCTGTGTGTGTTTACAACTAGCACAATGCCTTAGTGTTTCTTGCCTGATTCCATAAAACAAGTTTGGTTGGTTTTTTTTTTTAAAGTAAAGCTTACATTTATTAAACTCAAATATAAGCATAATTTTTTGTTTTTACTATGAAGTTGCTTATAACATTTTACATCTAATTACTTAACAAGTAGTTAATCAAGTATACTTGATACTTAACTAACTGACAAGTAGTTGATCAAGTATATTTGATGTTTGTGAAGGAGCTATCACAGAAAAAGCAGATTTTGAAGACATCTGCATAGAATTAGTAGCTAAAATAATATAAATTAGTTTAGGTCAGAAGTGCACAGCACACTCTATGGTCTTGCTTGTGATTGGGTACAGTTACATGTTATATAAAAGAAAACTTAAAAAGAATCTAGATCCCTGGTTTCTTGATTTTAAGAATTTAACTACTGCACCCTCAACTCTATTGGCTAATAATCCAGTTTCAGATTCCAGAACTGGGAAAAAAAGTACACCAGTTTAGATGGGAGTCCTTCACTTTCCTGAGCAATAGGTAATCTTCACATTACGACTGAGTATAGCAAAAAGCTGAATGCTGCTGCCTCCCCACTTTCTCCTTCTTCTTTCTTATGTAAGACATTTTGCAGATGAGAACGCAAACCCACCTTACGTGGCCTGATGAGTCACATCCTCAGCATCTGCATCTGCGTCTGCATCTGGCTGCTGTGTGGCAAAGTTCTTGGTGAGCATCTCTTCTATGTCTCTATGGATGATCTCATGGGCTGCGAGAATATGCTTCCGCTGAGCATTCCTCACTGTGTCAAAGGGACAGAAGTATGTCTTACTACAAAAGTCAGAATGAACCACTTCAAAGGTTTTTGAGAATAATAGTAAGAGGCAATGATTCAATAAACCAAATATGCTTTCACTTGGAACTGACTGGATGAAATAAAAACTATGTGCTGTTTTAGAAAGACATCTTTTAAGATAAACCAAATTCCTAGTTAATTCCTCAGTGCTATTCCTCTTCCTGTTTTCTGGTTGTGCTGAGTAATAGTATGCCCCAGGTGTGCCCCTGTTACCCCACAGGGGATTCCTCTTGTGGTTGTTGTTATGTGCCATCGAGTCACTTGCGACTCATAGCGATGCTATGTACAAGAGCTCTAAATGCTGTTCTATCCTGGGCCAACCTAGCCATCTCAAACACACTTATTCCCACCACTCCAGTCACAGAATCAATCCATCTCATCGAAGGTCTTCCTCTCCTTCGCCGCCCCTCCACCCTGCCAAATATGATGTCCCTCTCCAAGGACCAGTCCCCTCCTTGCAACATGCCCAAAGTATGTCACACGAAGCTTCAGAATCCTTAACTCCAAGGAGCATTCTGGCTTCACCTTCTCCAGGACAAACCTGTTTGTTCTCCTAGCAGTCCATGGTATATTCAACACTCTTCTCCAGCACCACAGCTCAAAGGCATCAATTCTCTTTCTATCAACCCTATTCACTGTCCAACTCTCTGATGCATATCATGTAATTGCGAAGACTATAGCCCAGATCAGGCACACCTTAGTCTCCAGCCTGACGTTGTTGCTCTCCAGTACTCTTGAGAGGTCCCTCAGAGCCGACTTTCCCGATACAATTCGTCTTTTGATTTCCTGGCTGCTGTTACCAAGAGTGTTGACTGTGGAGCCAACCAAACTAAAACTGTTAATTGCCTGTACTAAAAAAAAACAATGTCCATTTTTTCAAAGTCCAGCTAGGACCTCCACTAGGAGGTCTCCAGATTATATCAGCCGACATTTACCTCGGTACAGTTGTACCAATCCACTCAGCACCAAAGTATTCCATGGGAGTTATATTTTGTTGTCTACTTAGATTGTAAATAACTTCAAGGTCATTTGTTTTATTCTTCTTTTTGAGCCTTAGTCCCAGACATGAAGGCATCTGTTGATTAATGATGAGTTTCTGAGCTCATGGCTTTAGAAGATGATCGAAGACCATATCTTAAGAATACTTATCACCAAGCCTCCCTGGTAGACTAGTGGTAGGAAGTTGCATTGTCAACCCAAAGTGGGGTGGCTTGAATCCCCCAAATGCTGCAAGGAAAAAAGATGGGCAGTTTTCTACTGTGCAATGTACAGCCTCTGAAAACCACTGGAGGGTCATATAAGTTAGTTCCAACTCAAAGGCAATGAGTTGCGCTGAGCTGAAATAAAGATATTATTAACCAAAGAAGTCCTTTAAATAGTTGTATGATTGATAATGATGATGATGATGAAGATGTTGGCAGTTAGCTTTTGTCAAGATGTTATTTTGTGTCAGAAATTCTTTCATTGATCAATTGTAATTAATTTTATAAAACACAAAATCAATGAAGGAATGTATGAACTACAATATATGTTGTTGTTGTTGTTGTTAAGAGCCGTCGAGTCGCAGGCAACTCATAGCGACCCTATGAAAGAGAGTCCTCAGCACTTGAGTGTCTCTCATCCTCTCTCCAGACTACAATATATATGAATGAAAAAACTTTAATGCAAGAAAGAACAATAAAATAAATTTTTAAAGATCAATATACACAGAGGGAGAGTATATAGAAATAAGTGAAGTCCATACAGATCAATATTTAGCATTAGTTAACAAAGAATTTCTAGAAACGCACAAGAAAAGAAATAGTGCTTTACTGTATAAAGAACACATTTCAGATACTGGTCATGGTATATTCATTTATTAAATCACTCACTAATTAACTGCTTTTTTAAAAAGAGCATAAATGGAAATAAAAATGCTGTTGTGATTAAAAAACAAAACAAAACAGTAGCTACTCCCAGAAAAAACAGTAGTTGACTCTCAGAAAAAAAAAAAATTAAGTATCAGATATGTAATTATTCATTTAATCCTTTCAAAGTAAAATATGATATTGTTTATAGGTGCCAATGACTCAGCTCTGACTCACAGTAGCCCTATATACAATAGAATGAAGGGCTGCCTGATCTGACACCACAATTGTTGCTATTGTGGGCCTTCCTCTTTTTCTCTGATCCTCTACTTTACCAAGGGTCTCTCACCAGGGCCCCTCCTAAATAATATGTCCAAGCGAGTCCTCCTCATGGAATTTCTCCTGCAATCCTGACTCCATGCTCTCTTTCATACAGTCCAGCTTCTGAGATAATCTGCACAGCATATAGATTATTGTTGTTAGGCTCCATCTCCTAAGGACACAATGCACGAGAGAATGAAATCCTATCCCATTCTCTGACATCCTTACAATCTTTCCTTGCTTCAGCCCACAGTTAGTGTTAATGAGTTAAAGAGTCTTCTTCTGTACCACTCTCCGTCTGCTTTTCCATATATGATATCCTTCTCTAGGGACTGAGCTCTCCTGATAACCTGCTCAAAGTACGTGACATGAAATCACACCATCGTTGCTTTAAAGGTGCACTCTGGCTGCATTTCTTCCAAGACAGATTTGTTTGAGTTCTTGGTAATCTTTCCTATGTTTAGTATTCCTAGCTAACACACAATTCAAAGGCATCAATTCTGTTTAGCTTTCCTATTCATTGTGTGGCTTGGCACAGGCATTTTAATCTTTAAGTTGACATCCTTGTTCTTGAACACTTTAAAGAGGCTCTTGGCAGCAGATTTGCCCATTGTGTTTCCTTTTTTGACTGCTGCTGCTGTGGGTGCTGATTGTGGATCAAAACAAAGTTAAATCCTTGGTTTCTCCATGTATTATGATGTTCTTATTGTCCAGTTGTAAGGATTTTTACTTCTATAAGTTCATACCATCAGGTGTCAAGAAGACAAAGATTCTCGCCACTGGACCAATTGGCAGAGTCAGGATGGATGACGAAGAGATTGAGATTGTTCACAGCTTCAGTTTGCTCGGCTCCACAGTCAACACTCTTGGCACCAGCAGCCAGGAAATTAAAAAGCGTGTCGCGATGGGAAAGTCTGCTGTTAGGGACCTCTCTAAGGTACTCGGGAGCAACAGTGTCTCTCTGGAGACTAAGGTGCGCCTGATACAGGCCATGGTATTTGCAATCGCTTGTTATGCATCAGAGAGTTGGACAATGACTAGGGAGGACAGAAGGAGAGTGGATGCTTTTGAGCTGTGGTGCTGGAGAAGGGTACTGAATGTACCATGGACTGCCAGGAAAACAAACAGATTCATCTTGGAGAGGATTAAACCAAGCTACTCCTTGGAGGCAAGGATTCTGGGGCTTCGTCTGACATACTTTGGACATGTTGCCAGGAGGGACGGGTCCTTGGAGAGGGACATCATGCTTGGGAGGGTGGAGGGACAGCGCAGGAGGGGAAGACCCTCTATGAGATGGATTGATTCGGTGACTGGGGTAATCGGGATGGGTGTGACAGGGGCGGTGCGGTTGGCGCAGGATAGAGCAGGGTTTAGGGCTGTTGTGCATAGGGTCGCTATGAGTCGGAAACGACTCGACGGCACATAACAACAACAACAACATAAGTTCATACATCTGTACTGAAATATTTTCTTTTCATCAGAGAGAGCTTCAAGTTTTCTTCATGCAAAGTTGTTCAATCTGTATGTCAATGATAGTTGATGAGTGTTCTTTTAATCCGATGCCACATTCTTCTTCACATATGAAACCTTCATGAGTTATTTGTTCAGCATACAAATTGAATGGGTGTGGTAAAAAGACCCAACTCTGATGCAGAACTTTCCTGATTTTAAACCTTGCAGTATCCCCTTGCTCTGTTCTAACAACTGCTTCCTGATCTATGTATACGTTCTGCATGAGCACAAGTTTGTATTCTGGAATTCCCATTCTTTATAATGATCCACATTGTTGAATGCTTATGCACAGTGAAAATAACACAAGTGAACATCTTTCTGGTATTTTCTGCTTTCAGTGTCACAACCCATTTGAAGTCTGCAATGGTAGTCTTTGTTCCAGAGCCTTTTCTTGATCCTTTCTAGTCATTTGTGAATAATTTTCAGCAATATTTTCCTTGTGTGTGGTATTACTGAGTATTTGAGCTCTGGTGGCCTAGTGGGGAAGGAATTACACTAAAAACCCAGAGGCAAGCAATCTGAATCCCCCAGCTACTGTATTGGAGAAAGATGGGCAATCTCCTACCATGCAATTTAAAGCCTCTGAAAACTTGCTAAAAGGTCAGCTATGAGTCAGTTCCAACTTAACGACATCAAAAAACAAATTTTGTGCACTGATGTTCATAGCAGCATTATTTACCATTGCAAGAATATGGGAACAGCCAAATGTCCAACTACAATAGAATGGATTGAGAAATTATGTTACAGTCACACAATGGAATACTACACAGCATGGAGGAGCAATGATTTTGTAAATCACTACCTAACTTGGGAGGAGAGCATTATCCTAAGTGAACTAACTTAGTCCCATAAGGGCAAATACTATACAAGACCATTATTGTAGAAATAGATAACTAGTAAAACATGTATGAGGATCTAAGGGGGGGATGACAGGAGCACAGGAGATGGGGGGTGTAATCATAGGGTTGTACAAATTGATGGGTGAGGAAAAAATGTTCAAAATCCCTAGCTCTAAAAGAAATGCAAATCAAAACAACTCTGAGATATCATCTCACCCCAGTAAGAATAGTAAAATTTACCAGAACAGCTGGCAACAAATACTGGTGATGTTGTGGAGAAACTGGAACCCTTATTCACTGTTGGTGGGAGTGTAAAATGGTGCAACCACTGTGGAAGGTGGTGTGGTGCTTTCTCAAAAAGTTGCAAATACCATTTGACCCAGCAATTCCACTACTGGGAATATAACCCAAAGAGAGGAGAACTGCCACCCAAGCAGATATATGCACACCCACATTTATCATGGCTTTGTTCAAAATAGCAAAGAAATGGAAACAACCTAAATGCCCATCAGCAAACGAATGGATAGAGAAGCTGCGGTATATTCACACAATGGAATACTACACTGCATTAAAAAACAAGGAACTCATGCAATATTATTCAAAATGGGTGACCCTGGAAGACAATATGCTGAGTGAAGTATCTCAATCACAAAAGTACAAATACTGCATGGTGCCACTGTTTTAAAACAGGATTGACATTAGGGTTGGGGAGAGACTGAGAAAGATGGGTTCAATAATGTATACTGCATTGAAACAGATGAGGGAGAAAACTGTTTAAAAGGGCTATGTGATTAGGTGTTACTGTCATGACAGGAGTCCAGAGTGAAAGCTGCATGGTGGAGTGGACCTGGGAGGAGGGTTTGTAAAACAATGAAGGAATTTTTCTTTTACTTACTTTTCAAAGAGGGGAGTGTACTGGGGGGGGGGGAGGGAGGGTGGGGGTGGGGAGAAAAGTGCAACAATGAATGAATGGAAATCCAAAGTCTGTAAAATTTCATTGAAATTAATAATAAAAAAAGTTGGAAGTAGAAAAAAAAAATATAATTGGTGACAGCAACACAAAATTTGGAAACAAAGGAAGGGCTAGAGCTCATGATGATCCCGTATTTTGGAATTAGCATAACATGTTCTTGGAAAGCACTGAAGCAAGAAACATCCGTGATTTTTCTTCAGTAATACGTGTACATATGTGATTGATTTTAAATCTCTAGGACATAAAAAATAGATTTAAAAAATTTTGAAATATTGAAGTAGTTATAATTGCTTACCTTTTTCTTTGACAAAGTCTTTTTGTACCTCTGGGATCAGGAATCTATATACCAACTCAGCAACAATCTCCTCTGACTGAAGCTGTGTTCGGCTGAAAAACAAAATAAAACAATTTATTTCCTTTATTGTCTTCCTTGAGCTGTCAGTTTTCATTTCTTATATAAAGAACTCCCCTGCTCAAATGCCTCCAACCCCCATGCCTTGATTTGGTGAGCTTAAAATATCACCCTATTGGTGAGTTTGCTTATGTCCATGAAGATGTTGGTTTCAATCATAACCTTCATTTATGCTGCTGGTTGCTAAGAGAATCTTTGAGAGATGGCTTATATAAGTCAAAGTCCTTGGTGAGGTATGAGGATCCTGCTAGAATATTTGGAATTCAAGTAATGTTGCACAGACTTATTCATATTGCCTTGAACTATTCTAAAAGTAAATAACACTAAAGTGATCCAGACTGCAGAAGATAAGCAAGAATCCAGTTCCCAGTGCTCCTACCATAAAAAAAAAAAAGGTGTAGGTATATCCTAACAAGTTAGGCTCATAAAAGAATAGTGCAGCATTGTTTATTTGTCTCTCCTTGGTAATAAAACCTTAAAATACTACTGAGTAGCCACAAAGCTGTTGATTCTATCATCCATTCTCTTGCTACTTACCGGCTTTCCATTTCATAAGCAATGTCATTTATTTCCTCTGCCATTTTTTGAATTTCTTCCCTGGCTTGTTCTTCTGCAGTATTTGCTTCCGTATTCAGTATTATGTCTTCCAGATAGGAGGTTACAGTACTCTGGTGAACTTTAATGACCTACACAAGGCAAAAGACTCCCACTTACTGAGAACAGAAAGGCTTACAAGATGGGGAAAATTAGATAACTGACTTTTCTCAGAATACCTATTTCATTTTTTTATAGTCCCTTCACTAATCATTCCTTTTCTTTTCCATAGAGTCAATCTGAATGGAATGAACCTACCATTCCATTATGAGCCTCCTTCACTCATCAGATCCACTTCAGAATTATGGATCTCAGTATGGGAAGCAGTACTGCACTGAAAAAAGATCATGAGCTTAAAAGGCATGGTTTGGATACTGACCATCTTCTTACAGTAGTGTGACTTTGTGACACAAATTAGAGCAGAGACTATAAGACATCTCCCAATAGCCTTTCTGCTGTTCTTAGGTAACAGAAGCCCTGAATTTCTGCTTGGCTGGCAAATACCCAGACTAAAGCCTACATTTCCAAGCACTCACAGGAGCTATGAATGGCCAGGTGACTGAGTTTTCCCCAAGAGAATACATGTGGAAGGGGTGTGTGCAGAAAGGATGCCTAAAGGGCAAGTGCCCATTGCTTTGCTTCTCTTAAAACAAAGAATAGTGATGTGATGCCTGGAGCACCATCAGTCATCCTAAACTGGGCCATGGCTCAGGGATGGATGAACAGAAAGCTAGAAAGATCATGGTCTCTGACAACACATTCAAAAGCATCATGTCAGCCCTTGAAAGAAACATTCAAAAGTCAAACATTCATATCACGGCGAGCTCTGGTGGCCTACTGGCAAGAAGGTGTACTACAATCCCAGAGGTGCACTGTTCAAATCCACCAGATGCTGTGCTGGAGAAGGAGGAACAGTCTCCTCCTGTACCAGTCAGATCTGATTTGATGGTATACACAACACACACACAAAATAATAAAATAAAAAAGGAAAAAAAGCTGTTTACTTTTTTTAAAAAAAGTATCATATCAGCCCTAGACGGCTTCTTTTAAATGCTTTACGTTGTCAAATAGAAAAGACTTCAAGTGCATAACACAAAATGTTTGACTCAGCAGTTCCACTACTGGGAATATGCCCTAAAGAAAACTGAACTGCCACCCAAGCAGTTCTGTGCACACCCATGTTTATTGCTGCATTGTTCACAATAGCAAAGAGATGGAAACAACCTAAGCACCCATCACCAAATGAATGGATAGAGAAACTCTGGTATAGTCACACAATGGAATATTATGCTGCATTAAAAAACAAGGAACTCGTGAAATATACAAAATAGTGACCCTGGAGGACATTACGCTGAGTGAAATGTCTCAGTCACAAAAAGACAAACACTGCATAATGCCATTGTTATAAAACAGGACTGACATCGGGATTGAGGGGAAACTAAAAGTGGATAAATAATGTACACTGAAACAGATGAGGGAGAGAATTGCTTAAAAGGAATATATTAGTAGGTATCATTTGCATGAAAACAGTCCAGAATAAGAGCTGCATAGTAAAGTTGACTTGGGGTGGGGGTGGGGGGATTGCATAATAATGAAAGAAATTTTTTCAAAGAAAAAAGAGAACTGGAGGGGAGGAGTGGGCAGGTTTAAAAATGTGCAACAATGAATGAATGGAAATCCATGTTCTCTATAAACTTCCATTAAAATCTCAATTAAAAAATAAATAAATAAAAGGCTAAAGGCAAGAAAACAAACAACTGTACTGCATAATGCCACCCACTCCATAGTTTTTGCTAGAATCCTACAGCCCCTTTCCACTTTTCTGACTTCTGTGGTAAACAAACACTTCCTTGCTTTTCTGTATCGGTTTGCTACCCAAATATGAAATAATAAACAGCAGTTTAGTTTTGCAAGCACATGGAAAGTATCATGAGCATCCAGTGCAGCACATTTAATTTCTTGTCTGGCTCCTTAACAACCTGGGAACACCTTAAAGCTAAGACTTCAGGCCTAAATACTACATTGTCTTTGAAGAAGTGCCTGAGTAGCACTTCATTATCTGCTTATGGCTAGTACAGCAGCAGGACTCTGAGTATGTGATACTTTCTGTTTCTCCACCTGTCAAACACCTAGTCAACCTTGAATCCTGTGCATTCCCTCTGGAAGAGTCCCACTGACCAATCTCACACAGCATCAGCCAACCAATCAGCATCTAGTAGGTGGCAATTAAAATTCTACAGCTTCTATACACCCAGCTACCCTGACTTGCCTCCTTGAATATCTGATCCTCTTCCTGAAGGCGCTTTTGTTCCACCTGGCGCCGACCACTCTCCTCAGCTTCCCGCATCCGCCGCTGTCGTTCTGCCAACATGGCAAAGGCATGGATTCTCCTCTCTTCCTGTAGTCTTATCAGCTCTTTGGACAGGAAGTCAAACATGTCTGCTAATGCCCTTCCTTCCAGTCCAGCCAAATGGTTTTCAACCAGCAACACCTACAACAATAACAATAATATATTTTTTAAAGATTAAAATTCTACTATGAATAGTAATCATAAGGAGAAATGACAGATTGATCAGAACTCTGGATGAGCAATTCACTTAAAAAATGCATTTAATGTTTATTACAACTAGTATCTCTACACTGGCTCCATTTAAACGGCTCTTATTAGGAAAACTTAGGTTACAAACTCAGACATGACAGAGTAGCTTGCTCAGATAGTCACTGATACATTACAGTGATCCATTTACGAAGATGGTTTAGCAAAGCGTTTATTATCAGTTTAAATGTAGATGGTTTAAAATACTTGTAGACTTAGTGTATACTTTCTTTTCAAATTAATACAGATGGTAAAGTGGGAAAGTGTTCGTGCCTTTCAGGAAATGTAGGGAAATATTGTCGTCCTTATTAAAGATATTATTAGACTTTAACTGGACAGCCCTTTTTTGTGTTTTGGTTTTTTTTAGTTGAAGAAGGTTTTATTTTTAAATCCTGGGTATTATGTGACCCTGGAACTTCAAGAAGAAGATAAATACTGGGGGAGGGTTTGTAAAACAATGAAAGAATCTTTTCTTTTTTTTTTTTTAAGAATCTTTTCTTTTACTTTTCCATAATTTTTGACTCATGTACTTATAACTTGTTAAATTTGTGTCTTCTAGGTTGCAAAACCCCCATGATACATCTTCAAGGATATGAACATGTACGGCTAAGCACAATTAATAACGGTGCATCTAAATTCCAAAATCAATCTCCATAATAGTCTATATGTGTTTCCTACTGCCAAAGGGCAGTAGTGAGAGAGTAGTGAGAGAAGATCTTCACCCTGAAACCCACAGCGTCCCTTTTCAGCAGGAAGTAGCTAAGAGAATACGCCATCCCCTTTTCCTTATGAATCAGGGTGAAGTCTCTCTCAGGCAGGAGCGATAGGGAATGGCAAAGGACACACTGACAAAGGAGATTAATCAGAACTGACTTTGACAAGCACTGTGGCAATTGGACAATTAAAACAGACATTCGGATGGTGGGGGAAGAAGAACAAACTGGGGAGGAGGGTAGAGAGAATGGTGCTGCAATGAAGGAATGAAAACCCAAAATCCCTGTAAATGTTCATTAAAACTAATAAAATTTAATAATAATTAAAAAAAAAGAAGAAGATAAATAAATCAAAGAACCTTAAGGTCAAGGCCAATCTAAGAAATCTAGTCCAAGAACTCCCCCAAAGTGAATCATCTATTTAGGATCTGGTCCAATTTTTCCTTATTTGTTGACTATTTTTCTTGTTTAAACTTTCGTATCAACTATGGAAAGATTCTTGCTTCTTGGCTCAGAGAGGTGATGCAGAGCAGTGAGCACATGGGACTCCCTCCTTCCTCAGTGGAATTTTATTGTGGGATGTGTGAGCAGAAATAAGTTACACTCTGAACTTCTCAATCACCTGCTCTCAAAGCTAGGCTTTCAACCACAGCCTTCTGAAGATTAACCTGAGAAAACATGGGACATTGTATCATCCTTCTTTTTGTTGTTAGGTGCCATCCAGCTGCCTCCAACTCATAGCAACCCTATGCACAGCTGAATGAAATCTTGCCCAAACCTGCATCATCCTCATAACCTCTGCTATGCTTAAACTCACGGCTGCAGTCACTATGTCAATCCATCTCGTTGAGGATCTACCTCTATCTGTATTGCTGAAGCATGGTATTTCAAGCATGATGTACTTTTCCAGGTACTAAAACCTCTGATGTTAGGGACCTCTCCAAAGTGCTGAAGAGCAATGGTATCTCTTTGGAGACTAAGGTGCGTCTGATACAGGCCATGGTCTTCGCAATCACCTGTTATGCATCAGAGAGTTGGACAATGACCAAGGAGGATAGAAGGAGAATTGATGCCTTTGAGCTGTGGTGCTGGAGAAGAGTATTGAGAATACCATGGACTGCTAGGAAAACAAACAGATTTGTCCTGGAAAGGGTTAAACTGGGTGGCTCCTTGGAGGCAAGGATTCTGAGGCTCCGTCTAACATACTTTGGACATGTTGTGAGGAGAGACCGGTCCTTAGAGAGGGACATCATGCTTGGGAGGGTGGAGGGACAGCGCAGGAGAGGAAGGCCCTCTATGAGGTGGATTGATTCAGTGACTGGGATAATTGGGATGGGAGTGTCAGAGACAGTGTGATTGGCAAAGGACAGAGCGGAGTTTAGGGCTGTTGTACATAGGGTTGCTATGAGTCGCAGGCGACTCGATGGCACGTAACAACAACAACAACAAACAAAAACCTCTGACAACAGACCCAAAGTATGTAAGACTTAGTCACAACCTTTAAGGAGCAATCTCTCTGCACTTTTGACAATATAGTCAATATTCTTCTGCAGCAACACCATTTAAAGGCATTCTTCAATCTTTCCTATTCATGGTCCAATTTTCATACATATATAAAGCAATTAAAATATGGTTTGGATAAGATGCACCTTAATCTTTACAACTATATCCTTGCTCCTTAGTATTTCAAATAGCTCCTTGGCAGCAGAATTGCTTAATGCAAGAAGTCACTTGATTTCTTCACTTTCTTTCTGTGGGACTAGATTGTAGATCCAAGTAAAATTAAATTGTTGGCAATTTCATTCTTTTCTCTATTCATCATGGTATTGCTTGTTAGTCCAATTGTGAATGTTTTTGTTTTCTTCTTTCAGTTAAAGTGTAATCCATACTGAAGGCTATTGTTTTTTTTGGACAGCATCTCTTAAATTTTGTATATACCTTTTAATTCTTTAATCTCTGGTTTTCTTCCATGTGGTTTTTGTAATTTTAAGATCTTTAATAACAGGAGAGTAAAAAGCCTTATACCTTCTTATTTTTTTGTTGACTTAAAAGCCGTTGAGAACACTTTTGGAAACAGAGCAGGAAAAAGCCTATCTACTACTGAGGTAAAATAAGAAGGTCTGTGGAGTTCTCAGCCAGGAGTAAGATATAGATTTCTATTTATGAATCCCTTTGGTCTGATTTTGACACAAGGAGAAGATAAATGTGTAAGATGATTGTATCTTTTGTGACTTCATCCCATTACCTCTCCTAGCTGCAGGAGTAAGTACTGATATTTTAAAATAAATCCCATTTCTCGCTTTTTTTCTTATCAATTTGATTATGTACTACCTTGTCAACAGCAAGCCCTCATTTGTAGTTGAAATGCCACAAGATATTTTTAAAATAATGGAAAGGAAATAAAACTCAGTTGAAAGGAAAAAGTTGTTATTTTAAAGTTTCCACATTTTTGCAGTTAAGACAATGATATATTCAATCTAACAAGGAAATATCCCTTTCCAATTTGGGACTACAGCAGCATTGTTGAAGATTGTGATAGAACATATAATATTGTTTAACCAATGATAAAAAATCAAATAGGGACTTTATCATTACTAGCATGATCATGCTCTTTTAAGAACTATCAATCAATTATGGGATCAATCAACTTTGGGATAAAATTAACAACCAACAAGTCAGTTCTCTGCTGTCAAGTCAGAACTCATTCATAGCTTACTGTCCAAGAAGTTCTCTGAGGCTGTAAACAGCACAGGAAGAGATTCTTACTTTTTCTCTAAAAGATGCTAGTTGATTCAAACCACCAGAGAGTCTCAGCCTTCAAGTCAGCAGCACAACTGCCTCTGGAATGGACCTTCAGAGCTTCCTCAAATTATAACAGCAATTGGAAAGATTAGATAGGAAGCTTAGGCAGTCGAGAGTTTATGTTAATGAAGGAGGGACAACTCAGAAAAGGAGGGTGATAAAAGCTGAACAACTTTAAGAAGGTAATGGAGGAGATAGGCATGTGGGCTAGCCATTTGTATCCAAAGCTCTCTCCCAGTTAGCTGCTGGAGAAGAGACAGGTACGTGGGTTGGTCATTAGTACCTACTGAGGCTTGGACTGCACTGTTGGAGCTTGTCACTTTCCTGAGTAAAATAGTCCAGGCAGCACTGCTGGGACTTTGCCTACCGCTGGAGGAAAGCATTTCCTCCCATCAAACTACAGGACAGGACAGAGAAGTAGGCCCACCATACCTAGACAAAGGGAGAGATTCCAGCATACCTCAAAGGACAAGTAAATGAAAAACTTGCCAAAGTGAATAGGGCACAGAGTCATCCACAGATGATCATCAAGGAAGATTATCACTAGGAAACTGAATTGGGGCAATATTTGAGTCTGCAACTTATCAAAAGCATCATAAAGATAAGGAACTGTCAACAACCTATGCAGATACAACAGAAACTGCCTCACCCATACCAAGAAGAACTTTATGTAATGTCAGGAAGCAGCAGGCAGGTTCAAACATGGAAACAAACCAAAATATGTGTTTGCTTTAAAAAGCAGACCCAATTGCAGACCCAGTAAATAGCCCAGAGACAGGGAGATAGAAGAAATAAATCAACATGGAGTTACATGAAGTGCTACTGAAGAAGTTATAAATAATATCAAAAAGAATTGAAACTATAAATATAGAGAGATAAGAATTAAGAAAATCACCACAAGACAGAGAGGTACAACCAATATAGTACTATAAACAATAGAAATGCATGAACCCAATCTAGAATAGCAAGACCAAAATGGTAGAATTTTTCACCAACTTTTAGAAGGTAATTAATGTGCAATCACTCAGTTGCACGTATGGAAACTGTGAGCTTGGTACATGTTCTGTTATGTATATTCTTAACAACAACCACAACAAAAATAAAATCTAAAAACAAAATACTAAGTGACAAAGTAAAACACAAAGAAAAGGAGGGACCTTGTGCTCATGCAGGTTCCTCTGCCTCTGTAAGGCAAGGGTCACTTGCTTTTCTGCTTTCTTTACCAGCCTGTCATCTTCCTGGAGAACATGGCTGGTACGCAACTCCTGGATCAATTCCAATCGCTTTTCTTTCCCTTCAAACATCTGCAGGAAATGGAATAAAAAAAGAATTGAATGTTAACAACATTTTGTACCACATTCCAAGACCCTCAGGCAGGGTCTCAAAAGACACTGGAAGTAGTCATTCCTTACAGATTTACAGGTAATTGTCCTCTTGTGTAAAAGGGGGCCCTCTTATCTATACTTTCTGCTGCATAGGCCGATAAAGGGTTGAGTTATTAATCAGCTAGGTGTTCATTCATCTCTCAAAGACAAAGTGTCAAAAGAGGATCATATTAAAAAACTAGAACTTTCTCTTCCATTCATGTGCTTCCTATCTGAGACACCTAGAATTGTATTTTTTCACAGCAAATTTTTTCCAGTAAATCTGTCCTGAGTTTGTAATATACAATTGTTGTCTGGATTTAACTATGACATTTGTCTGGAGAAACAGAGTTTCTCTGGGGAAAAGAGTAAAGAATCATGGTGGACACAAATTGCTTATCTGCTTCTGTAAACTTAATTCATCATGAATGAGTCTCTTAAGAGCTAATATTGATTGTTGTTGTTGTTGATTGCTGTCAAGTACAGCACCACTCATAGTGACCCTATGAACAAAAGGCCTGAAGCCTTTCTATAATTATTGTTGTTTCTCAAAGTTCATAGAGTTTCCAGAGGCATGTAGTTTAGGACGTGGATGCCACTATTGCTTCCAAAATGTTGACTACAGAACAAAATAATTAAAATTTTTGATGTAATTTCTTTTTAATTGAAGTGTGCTTGTTCTAGTAAAAAAGTCCAGGGGTTGGATTTGTGGCATATTTACCTTTAAAATAGGATTGCTGATAGAAAAAAAAATAAAAAAGATAAAGAGTCAATATAGGTAGTGTAGAGTAAATGATCTATTATATTAAAATAATAGGATTCAAATTGTAGCTACTTTTTACTCCTTTAATTTGTAATGCAGGCATTGCTAACTGCATTGAAGTAATTACATCATGATTTGTATAAAATTAAGAAATCCATTTGTTTTGACTATTATTGGTAAAAATTCAGGTGAGAAAACTCTAGGGGAAAAAAATCCTTTCACATGGACAGTGCACAGAACAGGCAGGCCCTTCCACTCTCTCTTCCTACCTCCAACCTGGGCAAAAGAAAGGAATGAGTAGCTAATTTAAAAGTTGAGCTCTGTAAGTCACTTCTGAAAGGAGACACAAGGTCAGTGAGTGAACACTACAAACCATGTTCTGAACAACTCTGCCCCGGATTAATTTTTGAAGGAAGATCACAGCCATTTCTTTATCTTCTTCTTCCTAAAAGAACAAAGGGAGAACCAAGCAGCTTGAGAACTTTTTTTATCAGAAGCAGTTAGCATCAACTATTTTATTCAAGATTTATACCAAGAAAAGAGTCTGTAATTTGGTGTCAGAAGAATTTAAAGACAAATAAATATAGTTTCCTGATTTCATTCAACATATTGTTGTTGTTGTTATGTACTGTCAAGTTAGAACCAAACCACAGCTGACCATCCAATGAGTTTTTAGAGGCAATAAATAACATGAGAGAAGATTGTCCATCTTTCTCTCAATGGAGCAAAAGTGGTAGATTTCAACCACATGCCTTGTGATTAGGAGCACAGATGTTCCACTGGACAAAGATGGGCAGTTTCCTCCAGCATAATTTACTGTCTTTGAAACTTGATTTGAGGGTCAGTTATGAGCTGGTTGATTTGATGTTATACAACAACACCACAACCGACCATCATAGGTCCCTTCAGTCAACATACAGATGGATAATATAATATTCTAATAATATAATAGTATTCTAAACATTATTGTTGTTGTTTATCTTGAAGTCGGAACTGAAATTGAGTCACAGCTAACCCTCCAGTGGGTTTTCAGAGGCTGTAAATATCACAGGAGATAATGGTCCATTTTATCCCCCCAGAGAGCTGGTGGATTCAAATTGGATATCTTGGGTTGGCAGCACAATTCCTCACCAGTAAGGCGCTAGAACTCTTTAATGTTACTGCATCATTAAATTTATTTCATTTTCATAAGAAATAATATTGACAGTTCAACTTAAAAGCAAAAATTCTCCTATCCCCTATTATCATTATTTCCAGAAATAATTCTGTTGTTATTTGGTGCTGTCAAGTTGACTATTAATTAAAGGGAGCCTATGAACAACAGATTGGGACCTTGCCCTATCCTTCACCGTCTTCACAATCTCCTCCATGCTCAAGCCTATTGTCACAGTCACTGTGTCAATCTATCCCCTTAAGTGTCTTGCTCTCCTTTGCTGACTCTCTGTCTTTCCCATCATAATGTCCTTTTCCCAAGGCCTGGCCCCTCCTGACAACATGCCCAAAGTATATGAGACAAAGTTTCACCATCCTTGCCTCTAAGGAGCACCCTAGTTGTACTGCTTTAAGAAAGATTTGTTTGTTCTTTTGGAAGTCCACAGCATACTCAATACTCTTAGTCAACCTCATTATTCAAAGACATCGATTCTTTGATAATTCTTATTCATTGTCCATATTTCAGATGCATAAGAAACAACAAAAAATACCATGGCTTGGATTGGGCCACTTTACTTTTTCTTTATTCCTACACCATAAGGTCTTTCCTGAAGCAACAATGTCGCCTATTAATCCCTTTTATAATATTTGCTTTATTATGAGTAGGCAGAGACTACAATCAGTTTATATCAGGGTCTGAAGTAAAACACTTCTCATGAGAGTGTAGCTGGATTGGTAAAATTAGAAGACAATGAATGAGATCCTCATGCGCATTGCTGTTGACACATAATTGACCCTCCTTTGGATCCCTGACCCAGCAATGGAAACATTCCAGTCTCTCCACAGGGACAACCCATCAGACTCCTGCAACAGACATCAGCGAGGCTTCCCTTTAATTCTATGTCCCCTGACAAAGTGCTCAGGATCACTTATCTCCAAGACATTTCTTCCCTCTGCACCTTCAACCCTCATCAACCACTTCTTAAGGGGCAAGAGTATCATGGTAACTGATCATTATCTGGTCTTCATTATTTGAGATTCATGAAGGTTATATTCTGAAATTTATTCACATAGGGAAGGTTGTGTTTTGGGGTTGTTGTTTAGGTTTCCCCCCCCCCATTCTTTGTGGTGTTTATTTTTTTCCAGAAATACTAGCTTAGATTCCACTTCATATGTAAGACTAAAGACAGCATTCAACTCAGAGCTTGGGGAACTGACAATGCTAAGCTTATTTTTAATCCAAGCTAGCCTAAGAAAAAATTGGCCGCAAAAGAAAATTTACACTTCTAATCTGAAAGTTTCAAACTTACGTTGGAACTCATTTCTAAGGTTGGAGTTGGAAGCCGAGGTTGAGGAACTGGATTCTTCTGAAGGAAGCGCAGGGGTTTCTTTGGTTCAGGAACTTTATTCTTCTTCTCCAGCAGTGCCTGAAATGAAACCCACTAATGTAATTCTTCACCTTTCTCCTGCTCTCCAGCACCAGCTCAAAATCTGAATATCACTAAGAAATAATACAGCAGTTTGCGAAAGTGCAGCTGGGGTGCTTGTACCTCTCAGAGATACAAGTGTTATCTCTGAGAATAACTGACCACTGAATAAACAAGGCACATGCACAGGCATCCATTTAAAATTAAAATAGTTTTAAAAAGGAGGGGGATTTATAAATATCTTTGTGCTCTTTAAGGTTTGAATGTGCCTAAGCAGAACCTCTAACACCTATTGTTCCACTGGAGAGGAAAGGAGACGTACTCTTTTAATGGCTGCTCGGGCAATAGAGCATTTTCCTGTGCCACAAAATGACTCTGTAATAGTTGGTATATTCTTGTTATCAAGAAAGAACTGAGGCATATTAAATGGTAACTGTCTAAAAGTTGAGACTTTAATTTGGTTGCACAGGTAAGGCATCTCTCATCTAGTTAGCCGGAGTTGCAAATTTCAAGGCATTGACAAGTGAGCACTTCCAAGTTTGCATCCATTTGTTGAAAGATCGCCAATGGTATTTCATCAGTTCTGAGAGCATTGGTTTACTTTTTTTCCCAGTTACTTCAGTTCAGCTTGGACTTCTTCCTTATACCATCAATTCAAACAGTATTATTGATATCACATGAAAGCAAGATTCTGCTGAAGCTAATCCAAAAACCACTGGAGCAGCAAATCAACAGAGAACTTCCAGAAGAGTAGGCTGGATTTAGAAGGGGCAGTGGCACTAGGTATATTATAGCTAATGTCAGATGGATCTTGGCTAAAATCAGAAAGTATCAGAGGAATGTCTGTGTTTCATTGACTATGCAAAGGCATTTGACTGTGTGGATCACAACAAACTGTGGCTGACCTGAGAAGAATGGGAAACACTTGATTGTGCTTATGCGAAATCTATACTTGGACCAAGAGGTAGTTATCAGAACAGAGCAAGGAAACACTGCATGGTTGAAAATCAGGAATACCTTTATAAAACAACAAAAAAAATAGAGGTAGGTTTTCATCACCAAAACTGCCCTGCAAGAAACGTTAAAGTAAGTTCTTCAGGTAGAAGAAATTGATGTACATCAGAAACATGAACATGACTGTATATAAAAAAGGAAGTGTTAGAGAAGAGAAAAATGAAAAGTAAAATAAAACTTTTGCTGTTCTTATTTTAAAATTTGTATAAAATACAACTATTTGCTGAAATAAATTAAAAAAAGAACTGGAGATTACTGCATCTGCATCAGTGAAATGAATGACAGTGATATCACAGGACATGGGAAGAAAGAATTGATAATCTGTCATAAAGGGCTAACATTACACGTGAAGTGGTCTAGTGTTATTTGAAAAGTGACTTGGATTATCTTTAAATGTTTAATAATATACTGCATGAATGCTTTCTTTTAAAAGAACATTTATTGATCTAAACACATTGTAATGAAATAATATATTACCTTTGGGATTGCTTAAAATACTCAGGGTAAAGCCAAGCTAGGCAAGTATTTATTACTGATGAGGCAGAGTAGGGGATTTGTTAAACTAATTTGTCTTTTTAAAATGTATCTTGGGAGACTTTCACCGTTTTTCCAGGTTCATAGAGGTTTCTGGACGCAAGCTGTTTTGGAAGTAGATGCCACTCTTGCTTCCAAGCTTGTTTTAATCAGGGAGCACCACCAAACACTGTCCACCATGGGTAACCGTTATCACATTTGACACATCAGTGTTGCAGTGTTCAGCATCACAGCAACCACAAGTTACCTCTGTACGACAAGTGGACAGACCAGGGCTATAATGAAAAATTTTTAAAAGACATTGTTCTTGATAATGTTTATAAAACTGAAGAGACAAGTTATAAATGGGAGAAATACATGGAATCTACACAGGCCACAAAGGACTAGTATTAAGAACATATAAAGAAATTTTATGTGAACATTTTTCAACAGTCCAGGTGACACGCAGTCACATGAATATTAGCAATAAAATAAGCGGAAAAGTTAGCCTCTAAGTGATTTTATATTGTTGTTGTGTGTCACTGAGTTATAAATGACTCGTAGCTGATTTTCCAGTAGGTTTTCTGAGGCAGTTAATTGCAAGGAAGGAGATTGCCCATCTTTCTCTTGCAGAGCTGACTGGCCCACACATAACTACCACTACTTCAGAAATGCTGAGTCAGAAACTTTGGGGATGAGCCAGTTATATGTGCTTTTAGGTGTTCCAGGTGAATATGATGCATGATAAAGATTTAGGACAAATATCTATTTTAAAAAATAAAATTTTAATTGTGATTTTTAACAAATGTTTATAGAGAAGTTCAATTTTCATTCATTTATTGTTGCACAGTTACCTACTTTCTCCCCTCCCTAATTTTCTTTGCAGTGATGTACCTCTCATATTGGGCTGTTGTCATACGTATAGTCATTAATCATATATTCCTTTTAAACAGTTCTTTCCTTCATCTGTGACAATGTAATGGTCATTATCTATCCACTATTATCCTATTCTCCTCCCAACCACCTATGTCAGACTTGCTTTATAAAACACTGGTATTATGCAGTATTTGTCCTTTTGTGACTGAGATATTTCACTCTAAATGATGTCCTCCAGGGTCCTCCATGTTGTGTAATGCTTTATGAGTGCACTGTTTTTCAGTGCTGTATAATATTCCATTGCATGAATATACCACCATTTTTCTATCCAACTGTTTATTGATGGGCATTTGGGTTGCTCCCATCTCTTTTGTTACTATGACTAATAAAGCAATCAATATTGGTGTGCATCTATCTGTTTTGATGGTGGTTCTGATTTATTTAGGGTATATTCCCAGTAGTGATATTGTTGGGTCAAATGGTATTTCTATTTCCAACTTTTTGAGAAAGTGTCAAAATGCCTTCTGTAGTAGTAACATCTTTACGTTTCCACCTGCAATGAATAAGGATTCCAATTTCTCCACAACCTAGCGAGCATTTATTGTTTGCTTCTCTGTTGAACTTTGCTATTGTTGCTGGGGCGAGATGATATCTCATAGTTGTTTTGAGGACCAATATCTTAAATCAAGGGCTTTCGAGTCTTCAAGTAGTCTACATGCAGTTCCGATAACACAAGAGAAAGCTCCGCTGACGAATGCTATGTAATAGACTCATGCTGATGAGCATCACAATCTTCTGTTGAATTTTATACTAGATGAAAGAAGAGTTGAAAATGATTCCCTTTTCCATGATTCTCTGATATCAAATATCAAAGCGAGAAATGGGAGTCTATTATATTGTCAAACATAATTTCTAACACTAGAAATGTGCTACACCTCAGTATAACACCAAAATTACCATGTAGATCCTAAGTTGGAAGTACTTTTAGAAAGTAGCATGACTTCTGCAAACCAGGGGGAAAGCTCACAGGTGCTGGACAGTACAGGTTCTCTGAAAGAGTAAAGTATACATATGGAGGAGAGAAGAATGTGGGGTGTGTATTGTACACCACTGGACATTGTTGTCCAGACAAAATGTGATGTCTGGAGTTTTGTATATCTCTACAGAAGTCACACTGTGAAGTGTCTTGTCTTTAAACTAATCATCATACCTGGTAAACCTCAACCAACTCATGGTCCAGCCTCGCTTCCCTTTTTAGGAAACCTGCTTTGGTAGTAGTGGATTTTGGTTTTGGAGGTCTGATGCGAGGTTGTGTCACAAAATCTGGCAGGCTCGACTCAAGTTCAACTAATCCTATGGGAAGAAAGAATACATTCTCTAATTGGAACAAATTTGTATCTCATTTTAGAGTTTACATTAATGGTAATATTATATTGGTCACAGAAATTTGGAAAATATTCAAAATATTTTAAAAATCCCATCAACCAACCAGGAAAAAACTTCCCCCAATCCAACCACTCATTGAAAACTGTTGACATTTAGTGAATTAACATAAAATACACATGAGCTCATTATGATTCAGAATCAACTAGAAAGCAATTGATACTGTTACTTTGTTCATGCATTTATTAAAAATATAATTGAAATTGTTGTCAAATACAATTTTCATTTCTCCCTCCACTTAACATTATGGATTTTGTCTATTTTATGTGATGGTTACAATAAGTTTGCTAGTATATATACCATTCTGCTGACAATGGGAGACACTTCCTTTCCCCCACTACAATAGGTGATATGGAGCATTTTTCCTAGATTTTAGATTTTATTCTCAGCGAAATGGAATTGCTGGGCCAAAACACATGGCGGAGGGGGAAGTAAGATTCTTAATTTATAGTGTCAAAAGGTTTTCCCAATGTATTTAGTTTAATTAGGAATATGAAAGAGTGCTTTCATCATAAATTGAATGCTTTAGATATTATTTTTCTTCATTATATCTAATTTACTCGACGGCACATAACAACAACAACATTATTTCTAATTTGGTAAATATGTAGGTCATTTCAATTTTACTTTTTTATCTTTGAGTATTAGGAATAGTAAAGAATTTTAAATGTTTAGTAGTTAACTGAATTTCGGGAGCTCTGGTAGCCCAGTTAAATGAATTTACTCTTTGTTAAATTATCCTATGGTACACCAATTTATTTACTTGATCTTAATATTTTTATTGGTTTGTATAAACTCATTTTATTACCAATAATATCAAACTTGGGGCCTTGTTTCATATAAATATTTTTATTTGTTGTTTAGCTTTTAATTTAAACATATTTGTACTTTACATATTTCACATATAGGTCTAAGATAAGCTTCTTATATTAGACACCTACCTTTGAAAGTTGCTTACCTTCATAAGTGTTTAGAAAGTGGTTTTTTACCACAAAGTTCTCGGAGTTGTTGTCTGGGAAGCGGCCAAGGCGAGTTAGAGGTGCGTAGACCTGTGACGCATAATCACAGTAATCCCTGATGATATTTCTTCTCTCCAACTTTCCTTCTACTTTCTTTCTCTTGTTCACTAGCTTTCTGATTGCTAAAACAAAACATATCTCCATGACTAAACTCTAAAATATTGTCCTGCATTTTTCAGACATAGACTAGTAAACCATTTCCAGGTCTATTCTCAAAGAAAGAACTGTAGTGAATAAACTGCATGATGACCACTCATCGTAGCCAGAATACAACACTAAAAAGGGCTGTCTGTCATCTCTGTGACCCGGTAGTCAGGACCACTGGGAGTGGTAGAAGCTGACTCAGCAACCGTCTTCAGTGGAGACTCACCAGGAGCCTTTCACAGCCACACTCCATGCACCAGGCCAAGAAGAAATATTCAATGACAATGTATTAAATGAGACAAAGAGAACTCACATGACTGAAAATGTGTGGTTATTGAAGGACTAGGAGAATTACTTACTCTCCCGGATGAGAATAACACCAAGTCTATAAATTCTTCAATAATTCCTATCCATCCTGGCTAATAGTCTCTGGCTTAGCTTCTAGTTTTCAGAATTATTTGGCCGTCAGCTTTTCCCTGGGAGAATTATGCACCAGCTGCTCTGTCAGAGAAGGATGGACAAATTCCTCCCATGCAATTTACTGCCTCTGAAAACCTGCTGGAGGGTCAGCTATAGGTCAGCTCTGACTTGATGGCACACGACAACATGGCCCGACTTCTAAATTTGAGAATTATTTGGCAGTCAGAGGGAAATGCTCGACCTTGCACAGCAGGAATTTACCCAACTAAGGAGTCATGCTTACTACCTACAACTGTTCCTGTTCTTCTAGATCCTACTGCCGACCTGTACCTTGTGGAAGGATCATGCATGCTCAGCAGGGCTGAAATCACACAGCAAGGCCACAAAATCTTATCACAAGAAGAGGTCTGTATGGCCACTGATTTCTATGCATATTTATGTATGATCCTTGGGACATTTCTATGTCACCTGAAGTTTTAGAATTATACTTTATTTCCATCTACAAAAGTCAGTCTACCTTTCATTTTGTCAAGTACTGAAAAGTACATAGAGATAATTAACGTAAAAGTTATCTTCTCAATCAAGCAAAACCTCAGGAGTTAAACTCACGAAAACCAATTTTACTAAAGAATTCATTTTGAAAGGACTGAAACCCAGGGTGCTGGAGCTTCCAGTCAGCCTGAGTCTGCTGGGGATCAGGAAGTGGCTCTGACCTGCAGGCTTCAAGGTCAGAGTTGACTCACTCCTTCCTGCTCTGACACATTGATGCCGATGCTGCCGCTGCCCAGCTCACTTGCCCCACTCCAAGCATTCACTTCTGGAGCACCCTGAGTCCTATTTGCATCCCAGAGTCCAGCTGAGCTCTCCTTCCAGTTTCTAGTCAGTGGTAGTTCCCACATGCACATTCCATCTGCCAGTGAAGATGGCCGTTTGACTTCTGGGGTCCTCTCTCAAAGACCCCAGAAGCCAGGACTACTATCCCCTTTTGCTGGGGTCACTTGATCCATGCCCTTAACTGCCTCTCCAGCCAGTCTTCAAAAGAAGACAAAACAATTCAACTAATGAACTCATGCTGTGGTCTGGTCTGGTGGGTTGTGGACTCTTGGGAAGAAGAATCACTCATTTATCTCACTCCTGTGTACATACCCACAGAGAAAGAGAAAGAACATAACTTCTCTCCTCGTCAGCTTGCTCAGTGGCTGCCCCTGACTCGATTCCTACTTCAGGATTTGTTGTTGTTATGTGCCGTTGAGTCGCCTGCAACTCATAGCCACCCTATGTACAACAGCCCTAAACTCTGCTCTGTCCTGTGCCAATCACACTGTCTCTGACACTCCCATCCCTATTATCCCAGTCACTGAATCAATCCACCTCACAGAGGGCCTTCCCCTACTGCGCTGTCCCTCCACCCTCCCAAGCATGATGTCCTTCTCCAAGGACCGGTCTCTCCTCACAACATGTCCAAAGTATGTTAGATGGAGCCTCAGAATCCTTGCTTCCAAGAAGCAACCCAGTTAAACCCTTTCCACGACGAATCTGTTTGTTTTCCTAGCAGTCCATGGTATTCTCAATACTCTTCTCCAGCACCATATAGCTCAAAGGCATCAATTCTCCTTCTATCCTCCTTGGTCATTGTCCAACTCTCTGATGCATAACAGGTGATTGTGAAGGCCTGTATCAAACGCACCTTAGTCTCCAGAGAGACACCTTTGCTCTTCAGTTCTTTGGAGAGGTCCCTAACAGCAGACTTTCCCATGGCAATGCACCTTTTAATTTCCTGGCTGCTGGTGCCAAGAGTGTTGACTGTGGAGCCAAGCAAACTAAAGCTGTGTACAATCTCAATCTCTTCACCATCCATCATGATCCTGCCAATTGGTCCAGTGGTGAGAATCTTTGTCTTCTTGACATTGAGCCTCAATCCATATTGTAGGCTGCAGTCCTTGACACTCTGCAGCAGGCACTTCAGGTCCTCTTCAGTTTCAGCAAGCAGGGTTGTGTCATCCGCATAACGCAGGTTGTTGATAAATCGTCCACCAATCTTGACCCCACATTTGTCCTATAGAGCCCAGCCTCCCGGATAATCTGTTCTGCATATAGGTTGAAAAGGTATGGAGATAGGATGCATCCCTGGCGTATGCCCTTTCCAATTTTGAACCATGCAGTGTTCCCTTGCTCTGTTCTGATGACTGCCTCTTGGTCCAAGCATAGGTCTCGCATTAGCATGATCAAGTGTTCTAAGATTCCCATTCTTCTCAGAGTCAGCCATAGTTTGTTATGATCCACACAGTCAAATGCCTTTGCATAGTCAATGAAACACAGATAGACATTCCTCTGGTATTCTCTGCTTTCAGCTAAGATCCATCTAACATCAGCTACAATATCCCTAGTACCACGACCCCTTCTAAACCCAGCCTGGACTTCTGGCAGTTCTCTGCTGATGTGCTGTTCCAGTCGTTTTTGGATAATCTTCAGTAAAATCTTACTTGCATGTGAAATCAGTGAGATTGTTCTATAGTTTCCACACTCTGTTGGGTCACCTTTCTTTGGGATAGGAACAAATATAGATCTCTTCCAGTCAGTTGGCCAAGTGGTTGTTCTCCAGATTTCTTGGCACAACTTGGTGAGCATGTCCAAGGCAGCATCTGTTAGCTGAAATATGTCAATTGGTATACCATCTATTTCCTTCAAAGCAGCTTGAACTTCTTCCTTCATCACCATAGGTTCTTGCTCATATGTTGTTTCATGAAATTCTTCTGTGTCTGCCAATTCCTTTCAATAACAGAGACTCAGTATATTCTTTCCATCTTCTTTTAATACTTTCTGGATCATTTAACATTCTGCCGAAAGCATCCTTGATTGTAGCATCTCGAGGTTTGAATTTGTTCTTCAGTTCCGTGAGCTTAAGAAATGCTGAGCGAGTTTGGCCCTTTTGAAAAGAAAAACCTAAATCTAAAATCACTTCAGTGATAGGGGTGGTTTATTAATTTATTTTTTGAAGGCCTTTGAGAGGCGCTTGGCCCACCTTTGTAGGGAGTTGGTGAGAATATCTCCCCTCATTTCTGTATTTTCCCCTCAAGATGAGACAATCCAAATTTGGCATGAGAAGAACATTTCTTTCTTTCCTTCTCAACCAGCCATTTGGGGGGATATGGGATCCTCTCTCCTTTTTAGGTGAGTTGTTTCATTATTCCTGGATATACCTAAGCATATAAGAAGGATTTTGAACCTTTAACCCTGTGGGCATCTCCGCCAAGGAAGATCATACTCTTGGACAGGACTTTTCTTTCAGACAACTTGTCTTTTTTCAGTCATCTCTCTGATAAGGAAGGAATGGCCCCTTTGTTTTTCTCCACCTTGTTTTTCTTTCCCCTGAGAAGCCAAACTCCCTAAGTCTTGCCTTTGGGGGTGTATCCCACCTAGCAATGCCCCAATCAGTGTTCAGGTCTCCCTATCTCCCCACCCTCAGCCAATTGTTGTTGTTGTTATGTGCCATCATATCGCCTGCAACTCATAGCGACCCTCTGTACAATAGCCCTAAGTCCTGCTCTCTGCCTTGTCAATGTTATTGTTCAGCAACTTAGGATAATCTATTTTAAAACAGGGCTTTTCAATTAGAGAGACGAATCATCTCTTCCTGTATCTCAGCTGGGGGTGGGTGGGAAAGAAGGAATTTGGGGGAATCTTCCTTCTACCCCTAAGTGTTTCTTTTTTATACTAAATGTTTATTTTCAGTTTTCCCCCTCCCAGTCCCCTGATTTTTGGCAGGGGCATGGAAATGATTCTTTAAGCATCCCAGGAGTAGGGAGAAAGGAATGGGGGACAAAACCTGTCCTATATTGATTCAAAGCTGGGGAGGTGGGTTCGAAGGACTCCTGGGTTTATCTGTCAGCCAAGGTCCAGGCTTGAACCTTGATATGGGGGACATTGCTATACTTGTCTCCACTGTTTGTTTTACTTCCCTGAAAAGGACCTTTAAAAAAAAATCTTAGCGTACCAGAGAATTGGGAATTATTACTGTAAATATATATTTTTAAAATGTAAAAAAAAATTCATTTCATTTTAAACTTGCTTTTTTTTCCTAGAAAAATAAAGTCTGAATTAATTTAAAAAAAATGTGATTACAATGATTACATGTTCATAAACAGCTAACTTATACTTGGAATTTGAAGTACTTTAAATACAATTCATATTAATAAATAAATCACATTAACAGTTATTAAAAAAATATAGTTAAATGTTAATAACTTAAACAAATTTAACTTACAAAGTTTTAATTAGGTCTACTTAATCTGACACTGAATAAAAAAAGTAAGATTTACATTTTCCCCTTCTTTGTATAAAGCACAAGCATAATAATAGGAAATAGAGGAATAAATAGTATGTCTATAGTGCTAAAAAGTCATGGCTACCACCAAGTAACATGGGAATACCAGAGTGATTAATTGTGTTCATGGTGAATTTGTGCATAGCTAAAGATGTAATCATTCAAACACAACTAAGGGATTTGCATGGGTTTAAATCAGGAAATATTGTGTCTTCTAACTGTATCTATTCAATC